GAACAGACAGTATAAAAATGGGTTGGGTAGGAGCAGTTCCTTGGATTCTGCAGTTTACAAGCCTTTCTGCCAAGACTGATGCACTTGAGGGTGGAGCATCTTTGGCTACCTTTCCATGTGGTATGAGATTGTATACCTCTTTGATGTAGTGGCAGTTGTATGTGCTCTGCTGTGGGCAATAAGACTTGCAATCAAAGCTGAGCTATCTTAGAGTGGAACATCCTGGGGCTGAGGGTTGGGGATGGGGGAAGGGGCAGTCCAGGGAGGCCATCATCCTCTATGTAATGTAGGTTGGTATTGTAAGACGCTGTCCTCTGGGCATAGCATGACCATTGCGATCTTGAAATTAGAAGAGCTGTGATTACTTCCTCACAGGCTTGGGCCTACAAAATTCCATCATGAAGAGGCAGTAGGGCATGAGTTGTTTAAAACAGTATAGTAGATTCATGGGGCCAAACCCCTGCTTAAGGATATATGAGGTGTTAGTGACTGTTGAAGGGGAGATGTTTTCTTTAGCGGTATACCTGCCCATAAACTATCCCTACTACTGTGGGTAAGCCCTCACCTGTGGCAGACTAGGGTGGAATCAGTTCTTTGTTTATTGTTAATCCCCATCTGAGCTCAATAAATGTTCGCTCATGTATTTCCTGGAAAAGTTAATGCCACAGGTGACATGCCTCTTTGATGAGTGGGAATGCTGCCCGATGGCTGATGGACTAGATTCTATACAGCAGTCTCTTAGAGTAGTACTTTTGAGATGGGATTCTGAATAGATGATGGCAACAGTTGTGTAACTTTGCTGTGGGTATTCAGACATGCAGCTGAGGTGGGCTATCTGTCCAGAAGAATTTGCCTCAATGAGCAGGATTGAGAGTAAAAGAGACGAGGGTGCTATCATCCTCACTAGCCTCTTACTTGGCAGAAACAGTGGAGGAAAGGGAGGGTGAGTTGGAGGTATCACCTGTTGTTTCTTACAGCTGGTAGGGTGCAAAGAAAAGGTAATCCAAATTAGATCTATGCTAAATAGCCTTTCCTGGAATGCCGGACTTGAAACTCTTAGGAAGCATCAGATGGTCGGGGACGGGGAGTGGTCACTGTGGAGTAGAAGTGCCAGAAACTACCCTGTGAGAGGAGAAAGCTCGCTCTTCAACATGCAGACAGGGGCCTTCATAATGGCCTAGTGTGGTGAGCCCATGATGGTCAGAGAATGTGGTGCCCTGAGCTGTTTGGATTGGGAAGAACTTGTAAACAGGAAACCAGAGTGCCTTCACAGCCAGCTGGCTCATGACTCTGTGGGACGACAGGGTGAGTGAGACCAGTCTGAGTGCTGTGGAAGCAGAAACAGTAATTTAACTACCCAGAATTATCTGATATTAGTCTCTGATGGACTAGTCCTTATGAGCCATTAGGGATACAGGGTTAGCACTAGCTGTGATCCCCCAAAATATCAAGGTCTGGAAGACAGCAAAGGAAAGATAGGCATTACTGAGGGGACTTGGTATGGATGAGGGAAGATGGTGTTGGACTGTAGTTCACTGAGCCAGATAGAAGCATTCAGAAAGAAACCAAGCAGCAGAGATCTTAGGACTGGTGTGGGACTTGGGTGGCTCTGCTGAGCCCCGTGGTGAAATTCAATCTTTACAATGTAGATGAGGCTCTGACAGATCTGAACCATTTAGACAGGCATGTAAGTGGGGTTTATAAAGTAGAGTCATCCAGAAGATATGAACAAAAAGGGAAAACAGATCACAGGGCCTGCCTAGGTCACTTGAATGCAAATGTGACAAGATTTGCGTTGAGCCAGGGCAGGAGGTGGGGATAACAGAAAGCTAAGTGCTATCCAGGTGAGCAATGCTTTGCCAAAGGTGTGTAGAGAATTAGGGGCTGGGCAGAAAGCTCAGCAGTTAAGAGCACTGGCTGCTCTACCAGAGGACCTGTATTCAATTCCCAGCACCCACAATCTGGCTTACAACCTCTTTAGCACAAATCCCAGGGCATCCAGTGCCCTCTTCTGGTTTCTTTGGGCACCAGGCACACAAGTGATGTAGATAATGACAAAAAGAATACATGTGAAAACATTAAGCCTGTCCTAGGGGTGCACGATCACTCTCCTAGTTATGCTGTGTTTGTTTCTCCCCTGCAAGAAGATACACCAGGGGAGAAGGTTTGTTCAGCTTCCTCAGGAACCAGATGTGGGTGATGGAGAAGTAACAGCTCTGACATCAATTGAGAATCTGACAGAAGTGGGGAGCTGGCACCAGTGTCAGACAAGATCATGGCTTTGTATACTCAGGTTCTAGGCTGCGCCAAGCAGTGTAAGCCAGTCTTGCCAAACTCATTAAGTGGATGCACAACAGTCCTGCAGCAGGGCCCCAGAATCATATGAAATGACACATTGAAAATTATGGTGATTTATTGTGGTAGTTTGACTAAGAATGGCCCCTATAGGCTCATGTATTTGAATGCTTAGTCATTAGGGAGTGGTATTACTTGAGAAGGATTAGGAGGCGTGGCCTTGTTGGAATGATTGGAGGAAGTGTGTCATTGGGGGGTGGGCTTTTGGGTTTCAAAAGCCCAAGCCAGGCCCAGTGTCCCTGTCTCTGTCTCTCTCTTCCTGGTGCCTGAAGATCCAGATGTAGAATTTTCAGCTACTTCTTCAGCATCATGTCTGCCTGCATGCCACTGTACCCCCAGTCATGATGATAATGAACTAAACTTCTGAAAATGTAAGTGAGCCCCAATCTAACTCTTCTTTTATAAGAGTTGCCATGGTCATGGTGTCTCTTCACAGCAGTAGAACACTGACTAAGATAATTATGGAGAGCTGGATGAGATAATGTTTCTCCATTCATACTGCTGTACTCAACAGTTCTCATTGATACGCCAACTGATGTAAGTGGTGGCATCTTTCATGTGGCATTGGAGCTTGCTAACATTTTAACTGTGCCCTTGGATGCTGACTCTTAAGACCAATTTGCACTTGTTTGGAACAGATGGTAGTGGGCCTCAGAGAGGCTGTCTATCTTCTATAAAAAGTTTCATTATATAATGCTAAACCTTGAATATCTTACAGAGTTGGAAAGGCATCTGGAAGAACCTTAGAAAACAGCAATTAAAGAGCTTAAGTGAAGACACTCTCTGTGGGTAGAACAGGCACACCCAGAAGCCACAAGGTTACTGAATAGAATCTTAGTGCAAGAGGTGGATCATCATCCTGTAAGTCATTGACCGGGGAAGCCCCCGAGAGTCCCTTAAGTCATAAATGTTATTGCCACTGCTGTTGGTAGCATTCCAGAACTAGATGGCAAGTTCTTATTGTTGAAGACACCACACACTTTGGCTGAAGGACAGAGAGAAATGAGGATGGGGCTGATCTGGAACTCACTCCCTTACCTGATGTCTTTCTTTTTTTTATTTTTATTTTTTATTATTACTTTTAGTGCCAGAAGGTGTTATTCTGACTGCCAGCAGAGGACCGTTGACAGTCCTGCTATTAACTGACCCTGTGTGCTATACTACCCATGTGCCAGATAAGATGTGGCCACAGTGCCACAGTGACATACCTGTTATGGGTGTGGCTGGCTGCTTTCTAGTTGAATTTAAGTCCTGCTGCACTGGAGGGAACTCACATATTGTACTGTGAGTCAGGACAAAAACTTGTCGCCAGATAATCTCCTGGCTCCAAGGTCCTGGGAAGCTATTGATGTTGTTATGCCTACCAAATTGTCTTCTAGACATTAATGTTATATCCATTGATTACTGTTTCTGTCAGTCATAGTTAAGTAGGGCAATTTCTTTCTTTTTCTTTTTTGCTGTGGGCATTTGTTACTACAGAAACCTGTAACTAGCCACTTTTTTTTTTTTCTCCTGAGACAGGGTTTCTCTGTGTAACAGTCCTGGCTATCCTGGAACTAGCTCTGTAGATGAGGCTGACTTCAAACTTACCGAGATCCACCTGCTTCTGCCTCCTTAGTACTGAGATGAAAGGCGTGTGCCACCACTGCTGGGCTTGTCACTTATTCCTGGTAAGTTTTGTGTCATCTTGATATAAGCTACAGTTAGGTGGGAAGGGAAACCTCAACTGAGAAAATGCCTCCTTCATCTCTATTGCCCATATGCAAGATGGTCTGAGTGGTATAAGGAAGTGAGGTAAGTACTCTGTGAGGATCACTCTAGTAAGCATCGGGCTGCCTGCCATGGCTTCTGCTTCAGTTCCTGTCTCCAGGTTCCTGCCTGAGTCCCTGCCTTGGCTTAGCTCAGTGGTAGAGTGTGACCTGATAGTTACAGGATGAAATAAACCCTTTCCTTTACAAGTTGCTTTCAGTTATGGTGCTTATCACAGCAATAGAATCCCCAACTAAGACATCACCTATATATATCAGCCCCATAAGGCTCAGAGAACATCGGTGAAGAGAAGGCTAAAACAAGCAAACAGACATAAGAGCTGGAGGGAAGGGGCAGAACACTGTTTCCTCTGAACTGAAATACTCCTTCCTGGAAAGATTGGGGAGGCTCACAGGGTATTGAAAGCTAATGAAAAGTGTAGTTTATGAAACCTACAAGGTACAAGAAGCCCAGAGAGTCATAAAACTCACGAGGCCATTTCCAAGAATATACAAGCAGTCACAAATTGCCAGGAAAGATGGATACACAGGACATAGCATCAATGTATCTGTCTGAATGTTGGGCAGAGATCTTCAAAGATGCCTCCTTTATGTACTATCATCTTTGCTGGATGTAGGCTTTTTGGTGATGCAGCTGCCTTCAAGTTACCCATGTACCTGTAAGCAATGCCCCCAAAGTCATTGGTCCAGCAACTTAGACTCAGGTAGAATAATTTCTTTGGTTTGTCCTTGGTGCCTATCTGTGTTGAATGGACATCTGTTCACATTTTTCGGGGAACAGTCACACAACACCAGGCTAAAGACTAAAAGGTGTGATAGTCTTAGTTGGATTCTTATCAGGCTGTCCAGGAAGCCTATGCCAAAGATTTCTCATACCTGTTTAATGACCATTAACGCAATGGTATGTGGTAACAGTTACAAAACAGACAACAGTCGACTACATCTTACACCAGAACTGATAGTTTCCTACTGCAGTGGTTTTAGGAATGGGCAAAGAAGACAACGGCCTCTTAGATCTTTTTCTCCTTGACTCTGCCCTTAGTGATATGGGCTCTCAGGACAGAGCTGACTTCCATCCAGTGGAATAGAAAGCCTCCTTGGCTGAATAACACATCTGAGAATTGAGTCAATGATCTGGCTTCCCTCAGTGGACTTCAAGTCTCCCTGTGGTTATAGGAGAAGCATGGGTGGCTGAGATATCACATCTGAATTTCTTCTGGGCACCTCAGCAGTGTGTGTCTGGGTCCTTGATTACTGCAGGAAACACGAGTTGTGTACAAAGAGGCTCTTGCCCTGTGCCTGACTTTGAGGGATCAGGCAGTGGGCAGGTCTGAGGGGAAGCAGCTTTCAGATGTGGTGGACAGTGGTGTTACAACTCAGACTAGAATGAAAAAAGACAACAGCAAAAGGAAAGTCAGATGGCTAGAAATTGACAAAGTAGTGACAAGGTCAACATTATCGTCCTTTCCTAACATCGTTTTTGCTCTCCCAATCTCCCTTCCAGGGGCCAGGACATTTCTCAACCCTCTCCGCACTCTTAGCATCATCTCCCTGGAAAATGTCTGGCAGTCTTGTTGTACAGAATGCTACTTGGAGAGAATGATAAACTCGGGATTCTGCACCTTGAGGTACTTGTATTTCACAGATATTGCTAACCTAAGGAATCTCAGCTTTAATACAGAGATCTCAGATTGTCGCTTGCTGGGAGGGAAATGTATTTGGGATGTAAAAGGTTGTCATAGCTATTTAAATCAAATCTAAGGAGGATGCATGCCCTCGGGGTAGACGTACGGAGGGAGGGCTCCCTGCGGGACTAAAACACTCACCTTCCGCACATTGTAGATCCAGTTGAGGTAGGCAGTGACCTTGGTGTACACTCCAGGGGTACTTGGGCTCCCACAGCCATGGCCCCAGCTCACGATGCCTACTACCTGCCAATGGCCTGAGTGGTACATCAAAGGCCCACCACTGTCACCCTGTGAAAAGCCAGGACAGGAGCTGCTGGGGAGGGCAGGCCAGGCTAAAGGTGGCCTCCTCCTCCTCCACTGGCCCATCTGTTCCCTTGCACTCTCCATGACTCTGTGTGCTGACTTGCCTACCCTCCTTCTTGCTCATATTATTCAGTGCTCTTTACTCTTGGGGAAAAAAATGACCCATCTGTGGGCAACTGAGTTGAGGGAAAGCTGCTGCCTTATCAGAGGGTCACAAGTCTCATGAGCAAATTGAGTTTAACTTAGCCCGGCAGTTCCTACATCTATCTAACCACCAGTGGGGCGCCTGCTTATGTTGGTCCTGATCTGGATAACTGAGGTTCAATTAATTGGGAAAAAGACCCTTGCTCCTCCTCCCCTCGGAGGTTTACAATCAAACACGTAGGCAGAGCCAATAAGTGAGCAGATGACAACATAAAGTGATAAAAACACACTCACTGCCTTTCTCTGAGCTCGGTAATGCATATCCTCTCTGTGGCCTCCATGAATTCCTGGAAAGCAGACGCTCTCTCCAAATCTACTGTTCACAGCCCAATAGGGATGGCTTAGAGATAGCCAGCTCTTGAATAAAGATTTTAGTGTTGGGAGATGGGAGTAGGTTGAGAAATTTGAATAAAAATGGCTCCAAAGAGTCTCTGGAGGTATGGGGTATCGCTCAGAAGTCCTGGTGTCCATGGAGACAGCAAGAGGGGGCACATAAAGCTCACCTAGCATGAGACGATTTTTCTCATAAAGTACAGCAGTATAGGGGCGGTCACAGAGGAAATAGACCTGAGGTCATTGTCCTCAAAGGGATCATAGGTGATGGGAAATGAGGGTGGGTGGAGAAGGTGGCAGCACCATCTTTATATATATGAAAATACATTTATATTCTTCTTGCTCACGAAGCTCCACCTATCCATCTACCCACCCATCCATTCTCCTATCTTTATCAGAGTATGTTTTTGCCTGCTTTTACCACAAACAGAAGACTGCAATCTGCAAGGGTTCATGTGGGCATTCAGTTCGTAGATTTTCACATCTCTCCAGAACCTACATCCTTACTTACAGAACTCCCCAGTCTTTGGAGGACCTACCTGGCAAGCATCCACGCCACCTTCTGGGGTACCTGCACACACCATCTCAGCAGTGACTTCCCCCTGATAGGCATCCTCCGCATTGCACCGTGCACTATCAATGACCTGGACGGACGCCTGCAGCAGCACGTCAGACATCTCCCCTGGGAGGATGAAAACATATTTCCTTGTCCTCCCCTTTACCCTCAGCCCAGATTAATTTTCAGAGCCATCAACACTCTTTGATTTTTGATACTTGGTCACCAGGGTGGGCTTTTCTGAAGGGTATTCCTCTTTCTTATTACTGATGGGGGGTGTTAATAAGATATCATCATTCAAGGTCTCTGAGGTCTTGAGCCTAAGACTCACCTCCATTTTGCTCTGTGAAGCCCCATCCAATGACCCAGAGTGGTGTGCCTGGGATGAGTTCTTCATCAGAGAAGGGCAGGCAGATGGGCCTGACAGTGTCTGCCAGGAATAGAGAGGGAAATCCTATATTAGGTTTTCCCCCTATATTTTGTGCTTTTATGTGTTGGGGGTCTTGCTGGTCTACCTGAGACTAGTTTAGCTAATTCCTAGAGAGAACAAATCACTTGTCAGTGAGGCCCTCAGTATCTAAGCTAATTAATCTAGAGCCCATAACTTTAGCCTCACTCACCATCACCCCACCCTCATAAGCCAAGCTAGTGTTCTTTTCTGTCCTAAATCACCCCAGGTCCAGATACGAAACCTCTAGAGACCAATCTGCAGTTTAGACAACTGTTCTCATTCTCTAGTTCCAAGCATGCTCAAACTTGACTACCCAACCTTCCCCTGTGGTTTGGAACCGCAGACAACACTCCCCAGGAAAAACTAGGTTCCTTGTTCCTGGAGGAGCGCAAGCAGAGGCACAGTGACCTTTGGCAGGGCTATTGTATAGGGTCTGGGGCAAGGAAGGAACTAGACAATTCTTTAAAAAAGCCCTAACAGCATCAAGAACAGATTATTTGGATCTTCCAAATGGAGCAAACAGACTCGGAGGAATCTCTGACAGGGGAAGGTGTGAATGTTAGCTGACAGTTAGAGCAGGTCCTCTGGCACCAGAGATATATTAGCTGGACACCATGGGCAAGCTGAAGTCTTGAGAAGGAACAGGATGTGTCTAAGCTGCTCAGCAGAATGGGAGTAAGAAAAATCTGAGGGGCTCCATTCCCAGGGACCACCTCTCACCTGAGAATGTGAGTGGCACCTGGAGCTTGATGAGGGCAATGTCCTTCTCTTTGGGGTATAGGGCATTGTGTTCGGTGACAAAGATCTTGGCCACAGGCAAGGATGGAGAGTGGCCCAGTTTCTCTGAGCCGGCCCTCACCTTCCAGTTGGTCACATCAAGATACTTCCTAAGGATGGAGATGGCTAGATCAGGCGGAAGGCAATCACACTGAGGCTTTGCCTGGGGCTAGGTCTCCAGGTCTGCTGATGCTCTGAGAGGTCACATGATGGGGGACAGAAGTGGTAGAGAAGAGCAGTCTGAGGAGCCAGATTATAAAAGGAGATAATTCTTTTTCTTCAAGGAAACTTCAACCTGGAGGCTTGGGAAGAGGCTGCCCCATTTCTGGGCTTTGGAGTCCTGTCAGGTTCTCCCCGACCCTTGGTCTTGTCTATGCTACTTGCATTGTGGTCTGTTGAGTCATGAACTTAATGTTCTTTCTTCTTCCCCACCCCCACCCCTGCCTGTGCACAGGGAACTTTCCCCAGGAGTGTATTTAGAGCTCTTGTCCATCTCAAAAAGGTAAAAAACACTTGAGCTAGACCAAGATATCTTGAAGGTGATGATGGGGTCTATGTGATGCACAGAATCTGAAGGGGGTGTGTGGTTCTTGGTACTCACTGGATGCTGAATGGAATGGATGAATGGAAGTAAAGAGGGCCCGAGTGTAACCCTTTCCTAAGGCCTGGACTGCTCCCCCTGTCTGCTGGACCACACGATAATCTATACTTGGTTCAGTTTCTAGACATAGGTAGCGACTCTAGACTCTGGGGGCCATCTTCTGGAAGACTGGCAAGGAGGAGTCAAGTTCTTAGAAGCAGGGATGTGCAGGAAGAACTTCTGTAGCACGAGTGGGATGGGCACACTGTGGGGTGAGGACCCTGGGTATCTGAGGTTTTTCACCCAATAGAGGTCAGCCTTGGAGACCAGCACTCTCTGCACAGTACCTAACGAGGACATCATGGCCAGTATCTTATTGCTGCACCCCAGCAATGGTTTCCAGGAGAGACTGGGAGCTGTAGTCAGGAAACAAGTCAGGAGGCTGGCCCCTCCATGGCCTCCATCCCTCCTGGCCTCCTCACAGCTTACCTGAAGCAGTGGGCTGCTGTGAGGATCCAGTGGGCATCCAGGATGCTCCCACCACAGGTGTGCTGCCTGTCGTACTGGATGCTGACCTGCCACGGCCAAGAGTCCACAGAGGCCTCCACCCCGCCCACCACACGAGGAGTCTTCAAGCTCCTTCCACATTCTGGACCGGACAGAAAAAAAGGGAAGAGGGAGAAGTCAGGTTTCTGGGGAAGCCTCCTGCTCCCCAAAGCCCTGGAGCAGGGCCCAAGAATGGAATTGGATGGGGAGAACCCACTCACTTGCCACCGCCAGTTCTGAATCATTCATTGGAAAGATAACCAGCATGATACCACAGGTTTCCCTGAAACCCCAATTGGGTGGAGCTCCACGTGAAGGAGGTAGGGCTCTTGCTCCAAACCCTGCCCAATCTGAGAAAGCCTGAGAAACCATGGTTCCTCCCCTCCCAGAGATGCTCAAGACAACTCCTACAGGGTATTTAACTTGCCTCTTAAGGAAAGGCCATGTGGTTTTCCCGTTCCTTCTTATCTCACTGGGGGCTGGGAGACAATCAGGAACATTTTACTCATTAAATTTGGACTTTTAACGACTTGGTTTGATTGACTGCATCGGCAGAGAAACTTAATATCCGGGTACAGAAACATTTCACACACACTTTAGGAATTTAGACTTTTAAACATGGGTGTGTCCATTGTGTTTGCAATTTATGATCTTCAAAACAAGTAAGGGTGCAGAGTTATGAATTGCGAAAGCCCTGACCAAACAGGACAGTCCCCAAACTCCCTCCGCCTCGTGTGCACGTAAACAGATAGTCTCAAGTTACTTTGGTATCAGGAAATTAGATAAAAGTTCTAGAAACTTCCCTTTGTTAAGGAAGGTTGCCCAATGGCTATCCTGTCTCCTTCTGATCTACCTTTCACATCTGACCTTTGAACTTGAGTTAAAGTCTTCAGTGTCGGGGCTGGAGAGATGGCTCCATGAATAAGGATGCCTGCTTCTCTTCCAGAGACCTGAGTTTGGTTCCCAGTACTCACAACAGACAGCTCACACCTGCTTGTAACTCCAGCTCCCAGGATTGGGGGTACAGGTGGGGAGGTCTGACTAACTCTATTTGTCTCTAGAGGTGTTGCATGTATATGCTCATACCCATCCCATAATTAAACAAAACAAAACAAAACAAAACCAATCTAATGGCAAAGCCAAAAAACCAAACCAAACCAGAACAAAACAAAAAACCAGTCTCCAGTGCCATCTCCTTGCCCTGTTCCGGGCCTCTCTGGCCTTGTGGATACTCCATGCCACATTGATCTTTCCAAGGGGGATGACTCCCCACCATCTCTCTTCTGCCTGGCCCTGTGCCCGCCAAACACTGGTCCCACCCTGCATTCATCTTGCCCCCTTGCTCACTCATTCTTGGTTCACAAGGTGGTGGGGAGGGGAAGGCGTCTAGACTCTTCTGGACTGCTTCCCATGGTCTTTGTATAAAGCTCTGTCCAGCAGTGATCCACTTAAAAATCTCTGGAACACTTGGGTTATGGTTAGAGTGTGCCTCCCTAAAGGAGGCAACTTAGCCTTGGTGTGGTAGTGATTAGGCAGTTGGCCCTTTAAGAGGCGGGGCCTAGTGGCCCTTAGGTCATCAGAGTAGCCACCCTCTGAGGGGGATAACCAGTTTTCTGGGCTCCTTGAGCACCCGTGAGAACTTAGGACAAAACAAGGCCCCCCTTCGCCCCCCCCCCCAATTACTGTCTGGTTCCTTGTTTCGTTCATATTCCATAATGATCCACCAACCAGCTTTAGGGTCCCATTTGAGGACAAACCAAGGTGGCTTTCTGATCTTAGACCTCCAGGTTTTAAAACTATAAGCTAAGCAAAACTCTTCTTTACAATGTTATCCTGCCTCAAATATTTCATTACAGTAATAAAAATCTAATATACTCAGGCCATGGGCTGTGAGCAGAGGGTAGAAGGGAGTTCTTAGCATTAACCACTTGAAGGAATGCTGATCTACAAGCCCAAACACTAGGGTTTAGTGACTAGGAGAGCAATGAAGATGAAGGCCTTTCTTCCTGCCCACTGCTGGCTCAGGCCCTACATGCTCAGATGTGGGGTATACTCACCGAGGCAGCTCAGGGAAACCAGGGAAAGGCAGGTCCTGAAAGAAAGATACAGGCTCGAACTCAGCCCTGTGACACTGCTGGTTTGACCCTGTCCCCCAATACTGGGAAACCCCGGGACCTTCATCATGGGCCTGTGGAACTGCTTTAATATTCAGTGGGGTTCAATTTGATTCACACCCCCATTGCTGTGCATGTGCCTACCATGTATGGAGCCCTGCCCAGTGCAAAGGCAGCCCCTGGGTGGGAAAGTAGCAGTACCAGGTGTTGCGGAATAGTTAACTAGGCAAAGATGTGTTACATTTGTTTATGCTACATTTGTTTAATTATGTAAAGTTGTGTTGCATTTGTTTTACCTTGCAAAAGTACCTGACTGATCTAATAAAAAGGTGAATGGTCAATAACTAGGCAGGAGAGGGATAGGCAGGGCTGGTGAGCAGACAGAATAAGTAGGAGAAATCTAGAAGGAGTGGAAAGAGGAGGGAGAGGAGGGAAGGGACAAGGGGGAGGGGGAGAAGGAGGGGGAGAGGAGAGAGAGAGTAAAAATATGTGGGAGAAAGACAGGGACACACCTGCTGGGGGCCAGATGCCAGGCAGCCACCAGCCAGACAGGAGAAGCAGTGCACATAAGATATTCAGAAAGAAAGAATGCTAAAAAGCCCAGAGGCAAAACATAGACGAAGAGAAACAGGTTAAGTTATAAGAACTAGTGGGACAAGCGTAAGATAAGGACAAGCACTCATAACTAATAAGTTTTCGTGTTGCATGTCATGATTTGGGAGCTGGTTGGTGACCTAAAAGAAAGCCTGCTACAACTGGGCTCATTGCAGCCCTTTCAAACAGAACAGGATTTTGATGGAAACACACAGATAGCCACTCTCCTACTAGCCCTGTCCCTTTCAAGATCAGCTGTGGCAAGCATCTGTCCTGTGTCCTGAAGGAGAAGAAGTCAGCTGCTCTTTGAGTCTTTGCTCCCTGGCAGCAGGTTTTGTTTGCAATCAGTTGTGCTCTAACAGGTGATGAGGCAAAGGCTTCGGAGCAAAGGGCTAGGGAACCTTCTTTGGAGCATCAGAAGGTGCTGCTTTGACCTGACGAAGTGATGGAAAAGGACAAAGCATGCCTTTTGGACTCTCACCTACCAGGCAACTCATTAGGGAACATGAAGTAGCTGTGGAAAGAACAATCTGGACTGTTCAGACAGATAGAAGGTCATTGTTCATTCCTCTGCCTTTGAGCAGGACAGCACACATTATATTAAAAAAAAAAAAAAAAAAGTCAACAGAGAATACCCTCTGAACCCAGAAATGGATTTCCATAACCCTGGATGTTTAATGAGCTGCTTGGCTAGTTCTTCCTGTTGTCTGAGTGGCTTTCCAGTGTTCGCTAACCTTGGTAGATGAGAAGGCATCCCTTCACTTACCCACTTCCATTCTGCATCTGAAGTTCCTGGTTGTTTCCTGTGACTTGAACTACAGAGAGATTCTGGTCTGGGCCAATCTTCACTGCTCTGAAAGTGGGCTGGCTGTGTAGGGAGAGAACCGTGAGCTGGGGCAGAGGCTGGAGGGGATTGAAGTGAGACACACCCCCTCCCCATTCCAGGGAGAGGGAGGCAGGGCAAGACAGGTGGACTGGACCAGTGGGCAGGGCTGGCTTTGCTGGGTCACAGGCATATTTCTGCATTAAGGCAGAATTCAGCCCAAGACAGGCTGCCATGGTCTTGCTTTCTAGGAAAGGGACTCCTGGTCCAGAACCCAGAGCTCTGCAGAAGGACTAACTAGGGGTCTGTTTTCCTCACACCCTGCTTTGTTCCTGTCTCAAATGCCCCCAGCAGCTCTTTAGGTTCACACCATTGGGAGCAAAGAAGAAACGAGACCCAGATGAACTCCCATCTTAGCACGGAGGGAACTGGGATGTGGATATCTGATTTTTAAGAAGGGGACCTTGGTTATTTTCAATAATGTTTTCAAGATAGGAGAAGCCTGGATCCATTTTCTCATAGGAGCCCAGGTGTAGGTGGCACTTCCTTAAGCTTGGACCGCCCTCTCCTTTCCCTTCTGCTAGTCCATGTTTGCCTTCTTTCAAACTTTGAATTTAAATCTTCCTCCTCCAGGAAGCTGTCCCTAATCACTCTGTTTTCTGGCCTTTTTTTTTTTTTTTTCCCGCCAGAACCTACTTCTTCCAAATCTCTCCTCTCAGTACCAGTTTTGCATAAATATCTGGGTTCAATCCATATCCCAGGCTAGTTGGTCCACATTCAAGTAGGAAAGCAAACACTTCCTGGGTGAGCCAGTCACTGGAGTGGAATGACCAGGTCATCCTCAAGACTTAACTACATTCTTATATGCTGGCTCTCATACCAATTTGGTGTGTGACTGTGGGCAGGTTCTGTGGGTCTGTCTCTCTGAGTCCTGATTGTTTTTTTTTTTTTTTTTCTCTTTTATAAAATGATGCTCGAGCGGATAGTTCCTCCTACACTGGACTACCTATGGTTTTGTGTTCTTAAATAAGAAAGGTTTCCTCCCCATCCAGGCAGGGGAAAGAAAGAGATTTGAGCAGAGAGCTCTGACCAAGGACAGAGGGTGCTGGTGAAACATACCCGGGAGAGTGAAAGTTTGCTCACCAAATATAGCCTGGTGAGTAATTTAATGAACTTTGATATCATAAAGCCCCAGAGGTCAGGTGGCTCAGTGCCTCTGTGCTATGCAGAACGGCACAAGTTCTGGGAGGCTGCCGCCTTAAGAACCTCAGGAAATCCACCAGGTTTCATAACTGGGACTCAGCCTGCAGCATTCAGTCTAGCTGACGCTGCAGTTGGCTGGACTGCAGTGGAGGAGGGGCTAGCTGCAGGAGTACAGGGGGACAGCAGGTGCTGGGCATGCTTCCTGCTGTCCTTTAAAATGAAGGTGACAGGGTGTCCCTTTCTGGGCGGTGCTGAGAGTCCCATCTCCCCCCCCCCCCACACACCAGGGGAGAGAGCAGAAACTATAACTAGGAGGCAGAGGGGACAGATAGGTTCATCCTGGCTGCCCAAAGCATCTCTTGGACAAAACCTTGAGGCTGCTTTAGGGATCGTGGAGAGAACTCTGTGATCAACTGGCAATGTCTATCTAGTAGTCGTTTCTGTCTTATCTCTGGGCACAGTCCCTTAGAGCCCTGAGGAAGTTTGCCAGAGAGGGTGACCCTGTTTTGCAGCAGAACACCTGGCTCCTGGAGTGATCATTTCTCAGTTATCCTTTCACTGACAAAGCCTTGCAAGTAGAGAATTCCCCGTGTACAAAGACACTGAAAACTTGTGGTGTCCAGTCATCAGGGATGCCACCAGGCACAGATTCTAGTCTTCTACCTCCCAGCTTCTGCCTAAGCAAGCCACTTACTCTTTCAGAACCTTGTAACACAGATTTAATAATAACTGCGCTTTGAGCATTCTGCCAAGATCAAAGGAATATAAATATATGTAATGCTAATTACCCTTCATGTACCTTCCATCCACTCCAGATTTGGACCTGCTTCTGCAGTTCACTGAGAGAGCTGGGGCTGCTGCTGCTGCTGCTAGGCCCCAACCAAATCAGTCAAGTCCTTGCTATTTTTGTTTTCCAGTGCTGCGAATGGAACCCAGGGCTTTGCATGTGCCAGGCAAGTTCTCTACCACTGAGCTACACCCCCAGTCTTCCTTCAGCTAAATTTTAACCAAGAGGACTTTGCATATGTAAATTAGGCTTTGTGTTATGGTCAGGGACTTCTCCCAAAAGGAAAAGGAGAGAGAACAGGGCTCCATTCTCCTCTAGTAAGATTGGCATAGTTTCCTCTGGCTAACTCTAGAGGAAACTGAGGTTGGAGATTAACCTTCGTGCAACTTATAAGTGAAAGTGCTAGGTCTCAAACACAGTTCTATATGAAGCCCATGCCTGTGTTTTTAGGGGAAATGGAGAAAGAGGAGAAAAGAGGAAGGATGTGAGGTAGGGAGAGAGTGGGGGAGGGATGGAGGAAGGGAGGAAGGACAGAAGGCAGGCAAGAAAGAGAACAGAGGCTGTGGGGTGAGGTGAGTCTCCTATAGCCTTGGTTGTGTACCTGTCATAGCCCATCTGTCTGCAGGCTGTCTTGGCCAGTGCTTCTGTGAAGTTGTCAAAACAGACAGAGGCCCAGGTCCCTGTGGTTGCATCTAGCACCTGCAGGGTTGATCGATCCTTGGAGAGTCGGACTAGGAGGGAAGAAGTCTGGGTCAGCTGGAACATGGGGCCCTTTAGACCTGCCATCCTCCTCCCAACCAAGAACTGAAGACATGTTTAACATCATGTGAAGTTCTTCTAGTTGACTAGAGTCTAATTTGGAAGGCATCGAGGGGGAAGCCCGACTAGCTGCCCAGGGACAATGATAACAGCCTCTCTTTTTGCTAGTATAGGTATGGGTTTTGATGATAAGTGACATAATTGCTCTACCATGGCCTACATAGCTTGCTCAGCTTGAGGAAACATCTCAGCTAGGGGCTTGGTAGCTTCTCCATGGAAGGTCAGAGAGGGAGTTAAAGTGAAGATGTCTACTGGTATTAGCACAGCAGGAGTCCATGGGCACTTGACTTTTCTAAATAATAGCCAATATACAAGAAGTCACTCAGCCCAGCCCCACAAAGGGTCTCATTACCTATCTTCTGGGCTAAGTTGTTGTGGGAATTCATTCAGCCAATAGCTTTTAGGGTACCAGCCCTTTTAGGCATGTCTGAGGTGCTACATGTAGACTGAAAAGTGGAGAGAAGAAACATGCTCTCTCTCTCTCTCTCTCTCTCTCTCTCTGTCTCTGTCTCTCTGTCTCTCATGTGGTGGTCAGAGATCTGATCATAGCTTCCAGCGCCCCTGGACAAAAGACTGTGGTTGTTCTCTACCTTATTGTCATGTGTAGGTGTTTTCCAAGTAAATATTTGATATTCCTTTATCTTGGGCTCTCTTATAGCTCTGGTTGTTCTGGAACTCACTTTGTAGACTAGGCTGACCTTGAACTCACAGAGATCCACTTGCTTCTGCCTCCTGAGTGCTGGGATTAAAGGCATGTGCCACTACGATTTTTACACTTGAAACATTTGTTCCTCCAGTATCTCCTTCTGTCCCGTTCCCTAGCATGCTGCAGTAAACACTATGAATGAAAGAGTGGCTAGCCGGTTAAATGACATGGTGATCATGTTTCTAGTCTCACTGAGATATCAAAGAGGAACTGTCCAAGGTCATGCACTCTATTCCCTTTCTCAAAACCAAGCAGGTACAGCCAGCATTGCCTATACTTTCCTGTCCCCTCAAGGCCATTAAATAATCTTTTCTGAATGTGTGTCCTGTCCAGTGCTGGGATCTAAAGGTAGATTGCCATGATCTTGCCTTTGGAGACTTTCCCAGCAGGGCTAGAACCTGACAAAGGTGTGGGCAGAGACCACAACGAGCATACTTCTCCCTCTGCTCCTGCCCTTCAGTACCTGGACTCACCTGTCACTCCAGGCTTCTCTGGGAAGTTCTTGACACAGTGTTCCTCATCTTCCCCCAAGGCACAGTCAAGGTGGCCGTCACATATCTGCTCCCTCGGAATGAAGGCCAGAGGACTTCCACAGATGAAATAGAACTTGTCCAGAACCACCTTGACTGGAAGGCACATGAGGGAGGAGCAGAGAGGGTCAGGCAGGCAGAGAGAGGCTGCTTCTTCTGAAAGTCAGGCTGGCTGGAGACAAGCAGCCAATTTTAAAAATAAATTATTTATTTATTGTGTGGTTGTATGTGTCTAACTGGAGTTCAGAGGGCAACCTTTGGGAGCTGGTTACAGTAGTGGAAAGCTGACTAACATTGCCACATCAGGTTGGGCCAGCCAATGTTGAGAAGAAATGATTTGGGGTTTTATATGTCTCACAAACACCCCAGGCTCTCAAGGATCGAGGTGGTGTCTCACTTGTGGATACCCATTGTTACTATGATGAGGACCTGCTTAACTGGGAAACTGGGGTCCTGTGCCAGCCTCTGTGGACTCAGCCTCAAAGTCCAAGTGTAGAATAAAGGGTTAAAGCAGAGGATCTCTGTGTGCCATCCAATGGGTGGTATCTGCTGTTAGTGCAAATGTCCTAATAGCTCCAAAGACCAGCCATGCCCGGGCTATACAGGCACTACGCACCCAGGGTCCCATTCCAGCATTTCAATCCAGGTGCCTCACCTAAGGAAGCTCATTACTGCTCATGATGCTTAAAGGCATGTAATGGTAGAAGGGCTCAATGGACCTCATGGATACACAGGTTCAAATGGTAGAGCCAAGATCCCCACCCCAGATTCCTAATCTTGTCTCCTATGCTGTAATCCCTGCTGTAACTGTGGGCATCATTGTCACAGAGTGGGCTGCCCCAGACAACATCAGGGCTAATGATCTGGCTGTGATGAAGACTGAGCTGAGGTGGGCAGAGGGTTCCATCTGCCTGGCCCACTTCCCTGGTGCCTTCTGTCTCTTTATAGGCAGAAATGCTCTCTAGCCTGCCAGACAGTAAGGTTTCACAGGCACCCTGTTCAGTCCTGCTCCACCCTACCCCTCCACCAGCTGTCAGTTTGCAGAAGATGGGAAGGAGGCGGCTAGGGGTGGGCACCTCTGCAACTGTCTGTGTGGGTTTGGAATGGGTGCCACGTGTATAGCAACCATCTGGAAGAGAAGCCATCTGGGAGAACTGGGGGATGTACTCACCTTCCCCTTTCACTTAGAAGGCTCCCCCCAAGGCAGGGGTGGATTCATCCCCCAACCCAAAGCTTTGTGCAGATCACCTGCCTATGGCTGTGGGAGTGGGAGGAGGGGTAAGGGCTGTGACTTACTGAGGGGGCGAGGGTGAGAACAGGGGCTGCCATATACTGAGGGAGCATACTGTCACATCTGGGGGTGGGGTGGGGTGAAAATCGTGGAAGGGCTGTAACTCACTGAGGATGGCTATAGTCGCGATGGCCGCCAGGCTCAGCAGCACGGCTATGATGGGGATCCCCACCTTTTTGAAGGTCTCCAGGGGCCTTCGGGGTTTGTGGAAGGCAGTGATATCTGCAAGGAGAATGAGACAGAGGGGAGGAGTGTGCAATCAGAACTTGGAGCCCATCCCTGCCCAGGCCCACAGTCTTCTGCCATGGTGAAGGTTTTCCTTAGTGGGGATTATCCCTGGAGGCAAGGCTGAGTGAGATTTATGAACATGTATTATTCACCCATCTCCCCTCCCTTGCCCAGAATTACCTACCTTTCATAACCACTTTTCAGTTGAGCTGGCAGCCCGTGCTACCTCCCATTGTCTTGCCCTAACTTGCTCTAACTATTACCTTGTGTGACCTGTCCCTACTGGGCTCATCAGGCATGTACTTGGGCACCTACCATGACATATGTGATATATCATTTATCCTATTTATTATTATTATTATCATCATCATCATCATTATTATTATCATTATTATTTGGGGGTTTTGAGGCAGGGTATCTCTGTATAACAGCCCTAGCTGTCCTGGAACTCGCTCTGTAGATCAGGCTGGCCTCAAACTCACAGAGATCCACCTGCCTCTGCCTCCCAAATGCTGGGATCAAAGGTGTGTACCATCACCTCCCGGCAAATATATTTTTAAAATTCACATAATTGTATTGATGGGGTATAGTATAACATTTCAACACATGTGTTTAATACATAATGATAATAATATCAGGATAATTATTATGTTTCTCATGTAAGACGTGTGTGCGTGCATGCGTGCGTGCGTGCGTGTGTGTGTGTGTGTGTGTGTGTGTGTGTGTGTGTTAAGAACATCTGGAATTCTCTCACTAACTCTTTAAGGACATCATATGTCATCAATTGCACCTCCCGACTCATGTTATAGAACATTGGAGTTTACTCTTCTCATGAAGTTGCTTCTCTGATAATTATTTTTTAAACGGATTTCAAGATCATGTGGCTCAGGATAGCCTCATGCTTTATATGTAGATCAGGATGACCTTGAACTTCTGATCCTCTTGGTGCTGGAATTAGAGGCATGCACCACCACCGGTTTCTGCAGTGATGGGAATGGAACCCAGGGTTTTCTGTACACCAGGCAAGCATTCTACCATCTGAGCCACACCCTCAGTTCCTTGCCTTAATTTTCTGCCTCTTCACATAGTGAATGTGTAGAACGGGCCTGATGATTACTTGTGAGTAGATTGTATCACGATGTTCCCATCTCCAAGTTAGTCTAATACACAGTGCATCCCCAGCATGGTCTTTGTCTTTAAGGAGATTAGAATCTGGGGATGAGGCTAATAGGACACAAATGACAGCCTACCAGGAGGAAGAAGGTATGTGCTGGGTGAGACACTGTGTGGGGAGTGCTGGAGAAGGTTTCCTGAGCAGGTAGTACTTCACTATAGGCAGAGACAGGGAACAGGCTCCGGGCCAGTGGAGGGTGTGTGTGTGCTGTGAGTGTCTAGTATCCTGGAGGATGAGGTGGGTCAAAGCCTGTTGGGAGGCAGGACAACAAAGTCATTTTGTGAAGGCTTGAAAACCATGTTAGGGTTTGGCATTTATTCTAAGAGTGGTGAGGGGACATGGAAAGTTTTTGTTTGTTTGTTTGTTTGGTTTGGTTTTCAAGACAGGGTTTCTGTGTAGCTTTGGAGCCTATCCTGGAACTAGCTCTTATAGATCAGGCTGGATTCGAACTCACAGAGATCCACCTGCCCCTGCCTCCTGATTGCTAGGATTAAAGGTGTGCACCACCACCGCCCTGCCCATTGAAAGTTTTGAACAAGAGAGAGTATGTGATTGGCTGTTATCTAGGGAGAGTATTCACTCGTTATCTGATAGCAGAGGGTTGGAATGAGTTTGGGACCAGGGAGTTCACATTGCCTAAAACAAACAATTATACATCCACTTTAGATGGTGTCAGTATCAGAGATAGGTTCTGGATCTTTTCATGTCCCTTTCCTTCAGGCTGTGAACTTAGGAGTTTTTTGGGACCTTGCTCCCAAGGGGAGCTGGGTAAGAAACATGGCTAGACAGCAGTAGGTGGGCTCTCTTCTCCCAGCCACATGGCCCACTTCCACAGCTCCCACAGCCGGTGAACTTTCTGTACAAGATGTGACCATCCATGTTTCCTATCTTCCCTCCTTGCTTGCTTTTCCCCCAAAGCATTTATCATCTCTGACCTACTTGTGTGTTTTCTTTCTCCTCCCCCCCCCCAAATGGAAATGAAGCCACCATGCAGGCTATCGTGTACACTGCTGCTGTGTCTCCAGTGCCCAGAGCAGAGCCTATCCCACAGCCGATGCCCAGTGAACATCCATGAAATGGGAAATGACCCATCCGTTCTCGGCCCTGTTCTCTTAAGGACACACCCTGCCCATCCTTCCCTCGCTCTCTTTATTCTGCCTCAAACAATGCAATACAAGGCATATGTCTGGCACTACCCTTTTCTTCTGTTCATTAGAAGCTGAGGCTGGTGTCTGTCAGAGGCCTGTGCCACATAAACAATGGTATCAATGACTGTCAATAAGAAAGACCAAACTTTGTGCTTCCTTAATGGACAGTTTTAACTCCATGGTGGCCCAGCAGTGGGCATATGAGTGTGACAAGGTATTGCCTGTAATTTGTTAGGACCTGTCACAAAGCAGGTCATTAATAAGGCTAGGTAGTCCTGCTTTTAAAGTTCCCATGCTAACTCTTCAGAATTGTTCCGTTCTGTTCCTGTGGTCATTGACACAGTATTTTGTTCAGTTATTAAGGTCTGATTTGTTTCTTGAACACCTGCTTCGGGGGACATGAGGTTGATTTGTTTCCTTGGAGAGCAACCAATCTTTGGAAGGAGTCATTTGCCCTGCATCCTGGCTGTTTTCAGGGAACACCTGCCTCCCTTCTCAGGAAGGGATGCAATTTCACACTTAGTCCAAGTTCATAAATAGCCTCCCTGCTTGTGGTTGTTCCTTCTGTCCATTTGTCCTGCCCATTGCTTCTAGACAAAGCTTCCAGGAAGGGGCTTTGTGTGACAATAGGGGCTCCTGTCCCATTCACTTCTGGACCCTCCCCCACAACCTTCATTTCTGAACCAAATGGACACCACTGCTAGTATTCAGCAGCAAGCCCCCACCCAAGCACCGGTCACATGGATGGGCTGACTTTCTGGTGTTGAGTGTTATTCCTGATCTCTGCTGCTCAGGATCTCTGATTCCTCCCCTCCTCCCTCCCTCCCTTCCTCCCTCACCCCTGCTGTTGCTAGGTGACTTTCCTAGTTAGCCTGGCTTCTCAGCCATCCCCCCACTACTTGAGCCAGGAAGCTCTTTCCTTTCAACTTCCTTTCCACCAGGTGTTTGGAGCCAATTCAGCTGCATTCTGGTTTGGCAGCTCTTGGGTTTGTTCACTGAGGCACACACAGGAAGAGCCACAGGAAGCCTGGTGCTCCTTGGGGATCCTGGGGGCTACTGTTACATTAAACTCCCAAGTACAAAGGAGGCCCTGTTTCTACTAGCTGAGTTATTGTTTCTGATCATTATTAACTTGTGATTCAAATAAGATGTTAACCTGAGAGGGCTTGAGCAATTGTCTTCTGGATCTGTTCCTATTGATTTGTTCCCTGTTCATTTGTCTTGCTGATGTATAGGATATCAGGGGTAGGCGTCAATGATTTAAGGAAATATAATAGGAGGTGGTAAAACCCTTAAAATTGGGAGCTTTCTATTTATTCACTCATTTGACTCCTTTAAACAGGAATTCGCAGCTGTTTTCTTTCCTACCAGTAAAGTACCAGTGCCCCGAATTCTTGGTAGCATGAACTCCGTGAGATAGGAATCTTGGCCGTGCCACTGCCACAGCCCTATTCAGTGCAGCATAGGGCCTGGCTCAAAGAATAGATTGGGAGTCGCTGTTCTTGACCTTTTGGGCCTGAGACCAGGCTTTTCTAGAACAAATCCTGCAACTTATGGATACTAGTACTTTCTGTTGAATGATGGCCAGACAGAGTGGCTCAGTCGCTAAGATTCAAAGGCCTGGGGACCCAAGCTTACCATGGTTGTTCAGGGGTTGGTCACTGTCTGGATCCTGTAATTGAAGGAAAAAATGGCAAGGTGAGTAAAGGGACCTGCTTCCCAGTTGTAAGTAGCGATTATGTCCCACAGAAGATCTACTGAGTCACCAAATCATAAATCAGCCTGTGTTTAGTATCAGTAGCCCTGGCCAAAGCATTGCTAGAGTTTATAGCCCACCAGCAAGTTCTTCACGTAATGGATGGATGAACTGATTGATGTATCCATAGTACAACAGCATTATTGGTAACTGGTGGAAGTTAGAAAGTGGAGCCTCATTGGAGGAGTTAGATCCTGGAGGCATGCCTAGAAAGGGCATCTTGCCCCAAACTTCCCCTACATTCTTTTCCTTGTCCTAGTAGCCTAAGCAGCGAACCAGTCTCTGCTACATACACCTCTTGCCTAAGCACACATGGCTGAGGAACTTCCAGCTAACCCCCCCATTCTGTGAGCCAAATCACTCTTTCCTCCTTTAAGTTGCTTTTGTGCAATTCTTTCTCACAAGAATGTCATAGTAACCTTTGCAAAGCTCAGGCATAAATGACATGCCATGGATGAACTTCATGACATAATGACAAAAGAGCTAAACACGGGAGAGTATGTATTGTTCAATGACATTGAACCAACAGGTAAAGTTTAGGGGTGCTAACAGTCAGAACAGTGTTAGTATTGGGGAGGTGGGGTGGTTATAGGAAGAAGCACAATGGAATGTTCTGGACTATTGAGAAATTTCTAGAACTTGCTGTGGGTATTGGTTACACAGTATTTATGTGTTAGACCCTCACTGAGAGATGTATTTACAGAGTTGTTTGCTGCATGTGGATTATACCTAATAAAACAGGCAAACTCAAACAAAAGTCTACCAGGATACTAGGACATTTCTGAGAGTGCGGTCTTACTTCTGCAGTGACACACGTGCATAAAAAAAGCACAGACATTTGCTCATCCACTTCCCATGTGCACTCAATGTACATGCAGCTGTAGAGAATCAGACATGGGTGCTGCCTATACAAACTCATGTGCAAAGTATGTTTATTCCTTTTCTTACAGGCAAGGGTCAAAGGGAGGGTGATGCCCAGGTTCACATTTGTAGGGTGAAATCTGCCAAGGAAAAACACTCTGACCCTGATTTGACTCCAGGACCAGGACTTGAAATTGCACCAATCCCTGGGCTTGTCCAGAGTCAGTCTGCCAAATCCCACCAATCCCTGAGCACAGAATCCTCCCAATCCCGGAGATTCCTGAGCTCAAAATGCCACTAATCCCTGAGCTTGCTCCAGAATCAAACCACCAAAATTCACCAATCCCACGCTATTCTGGAATGTTCCAACCCTCAAGAAATCTTATATAAGTTCTGTACCCTGTTCAGTTTGCTGCTGTTTCTTACCCAAGGCAGCCACCCTCCTAGAATTTTCCTTCCCAATACATCTCTTGAGTGAGGTTTGTTGTGTGAATGTGATATCTTTACTCGAGTGAAGCCCAGCCTAACCACTTTCACCAGAGCCAGAGCAGAGCAGATCTGTAACACTTTCACTGGGGAAACCTTCCCCTAGCGGAGCAGAGTTGTTACACTCCAGCAACCTGAGCAGAGCTGTAACAACTTTTCTGGGGAAACCCTCCTCTGCCTGTGTAGAGCTGTTACATTGGGGAAATCTTTCCCTGGAGCAGAACTGTAAGCTGCTATGCTTACAGGGTCTTTGTGGTAGTCCTTGGCTTCCATTCTGTCTGAGCTGCAAGGCTTACACCATTCTCTGACTGTTTCCTATCTCTTGAGCATCTCAGAACCTTCTTGATCTTCCCTTTAAGGTCTGGTATAGGGAGTCCCTGAGAGCTGTCTAAGCTTTAAGCCTCTACACAGGGTCTGGCTTGCCAATACTGTACAGAGTTCATGAATAACCAGTGATGATGGAAGGAAGCTGCAGAATCCTGTACATTTCCTACTGGGGATTTTTCTGGTCCCACTTAGGAGTGAAAAGGCTTCTTCTAAGCCTTGGGTGTGTGGGAATCCTAGGTGGACATACCTGCTATCATTAAACAGTGTGTGTGTGGGGGGGGGTTGGGGGCAGTGATGGGAGGGGAGCTCCTTCCTGCTTTCCCTTCCTTCTGCATTGGAGTCTGCAATCTGCTGAAGGGATTTGGCCTTTGATGTCACTATGGATGACTGGTACAATAGTCCACAAGCTCTGATTTCTATTGATTGCCTTTAGGCAAGAAATAAAAAGAGCTTTCTGGTGCTTGGCTCACTCACAGACACCTTTTCCTGCTTCTACAACTCTTCTCTGTTTGAACAGTCACCATTTCCTGGTCTCTGTCTCCTTCTGTTTCTTTAAGAGTTTGTCTTTAAAATTTTATTTAGAATTGACAAATAAAAATTGTATTGGTCTCTTTTCTATGTTAAGTATCTGGCTTGTGCCTACAAAAGATTGAACTCATCTCTGGGCTCTGCTCACTCTAGTCTTTCCTTGGTCATCACCAGGCTGGATGAAGGGAGACAACTTTCAGGATGAAGATGAGAACAGACCAGGGTACCTGGTCCTATGGATACTTAGTCCGGATATAGCAATACCAACAGCAGTGTACACACAAACTGGCAAAGTCTTTTCATTTAACTTAGATCCAGATTAAAAATTACCAAAACTGAGTGTGTGGTAACCAGGTTGGCTAGCATTAAATAACTGCTAAGAAGTAGATGTATGAGGGATGTCCATACTGGGCCAGACCCTGATCCAAAAAGAAATTGGAGTCAAACATTCATCCCAACACACTGGGAGAGGTGCCCAAACAAGACAATTGAGTGCTACATCCCTTGAAGGGCTTTACCCCAGATAATAAGTCAGGAAAGAAAAAAACCACACAGGGTTGGGGAAGTCTTCAGAGGACAGCAGACCGAGAAGAGAGAGTGTCTGGATGAAGAGAGTGAAGAGAGAGTGTCAAGGGAGAGGGTCAGGACAGTTGGGGTGGGCGACCCCTCTGGACAGCTTACACCCGAACTGTGACTTGGATGATGGAAAGGGGCCAGTAATTGGAAGCAAGTGTGAGGTAATGGAGGAGCTACATAGAAGTAGGCAACTTTGGAGGGGAGGCAAGGTTATTCAAGAAAGAGAAGATTCTGTATGCGTTTGGAAGATCGAGACTGCTTTGCCAGTGGGCTAGGTGCCTTTGGGATTTGGTTAAACAGGGCGGGCTGTCTGCTGGAATAGAAGGCTAGAGGAGGCAGTAGGATATTAAGAGCATCTATTCAGCAAGCCCTTCCCATCAGTTCATTCTTTTTCATGGACTCTACTTGTGTATACACTACTGCATTAGTTAAGGTAGATGGGATAGGTTTCTTTTGCTTGTTACTAATTCAGCAGTTATTGACTATACCCATGACAGGCAAGGGATTATGCTAGAAGCCCAGACACAGAGAGAACAATGAAAATATGCACTCTACACACCTTTCTGGGTCTTGTCTACTCATCATGAGCTGCTGGCTACTTGGTTGTGGATATCCAAAACATTCAGTACTCATTTGTAAACAAAGGCAGGAGAAAGTGAATGATGTCAAAATTGCAAGTTGTAATTTCAAGGGACTGTAACTGTCTTGTTGATCGCTGCATCCAAACTCTCCTACAATGCATGGAATAGAGTGAATATTGAGTAGTGCTGGATGAATAAATTAATGATCCTATCTCAGTTTTGTCTTGGGCCAGCTTTTAAGAACCTGCCTGCAAATTCAGTCACACAATAAAATATCATACTGAAGTCAAAATAAACAAACTACAAGTTTTATCAAATTAAAAATGGGACATAAGCAACTGAATAAAGGATAAAGTCCCAACAGGTTCCATGTAGCTCAGATTCTTTTTCGTGAAGAAGCAAAGGAATGATGGACATGGGACTCTGGGATGGGCAGTGCTTACCTCAGCAGAGTGCACTTAACATGGCTCCTCAGATATTACATGGGTGCAGTGCAGCCAATTTTTGTTAAATTAATAAGCAAAAGAGACTTACCCGTCTACTTCAGCAGGGGCATGGGTGTGCATGTGAGAGGCAATGGAGGAATCTCATGATTATATAGAATATATATTATATTAATAAAAATCTCATGATTTTTATGTATGTAGATATATGTATTATTATATATGTTATAGTTACTGCTAAGCTCCAGTTTTTGTGTAGATTTATGGATATATTCTTAAACAAGTAACTAGCTAACAAGTTACTAATGACTCCTGTGTGGATCAGCAGTGAAATGTCATCATGAGTCAAAGGCAAGGTCTAGCCAGTGTTGTGCACTCAAGGTTATAAGAGAGACTAAAAGACTGTCACCTGCCTGTGTTTGAGGAGCCCAACTCTTGTCCTCATGGCACTATGCTGTAGACTCTAAATCTCCCACTTAGTGGCTCATGCTCTGCCCTTTCTTGAAGCCTCTAGACAAGCATCTATGACAGGGAGAGGTTGGAAATGTAAGGCTGTCAGCCTTCCAAGAAGCAGATATGTTGCCGGTCATGTGTGCCAGGGTCAGGGATTGATGGGGGTAGGTGTGTTTTAGGGCTGTGAGTGGTGACTGGAGACCATCAGTGTTAGAGACAATCTGAGGAGAATGGAAAGAAGAACTGAAGGGCACTTTTATTCCTTTCCAGCCCAGGATCAGTCCTGAACTGGGGAAAGGTACCATGTGGAACTCAGAGATCCCCCTATATCCCACCACTGGCCAGTCCAGTAGTGCTCAAGGATGCAGAGGTTCTCCTGAGACCATTCTGGCTGGGCCACTCTCCCTGAAGCCAGACAGAGGAAACGATTTGCCCTGAGTCATATAGAGGGAATGTTGAAAAGCAACCCAAGACCAATCGTGGTTCCTTCTTCACTGTAGAAATATCTTTAATTATGCTTAGCTTGAACTTAACCTCTTGAACTGGTCACAGTTACCACAGTTCAGTCCCCATATAGCTCAAGTGACGGTGCCAGTGAGAGCCACTGGCTGGGCCAGGCTACCTGCTTTGTTGATTCAGACTGTACAGAGCTCTGACTTGTGAGTCTGATGCAGCCTATGTCCAACTTAGGGCTCATCTGGAACTGAGCTTTTGCTGGCTGGAGTACAACTGAAGGCTGAGAATGCCCAGGTGAGAACAGGATGGAGGTAGAGTGGGTGGATAACTGATGGCTGAAAAACACTTGTCATGTCATTTCCTTGTTAGCTCAGAGCATCTTCCTGCCTTGTTTTCCAGTCAGTCACTAGCAAGAGAACAACATTAATCCAGAACCCACTAGTGAAGCCTGAATATTGTTTTATTGCTTGCAACATCTTCCTTTCAAAGATGCTATTATACTTAATATTTGGGAAGCCCAGAGACATCCTCATTTTACAGATCTGAAAGCCAAAGTTCACATCCACACAGTGGCTTCTGTGGTTTCAAAGCAAGCGAAGGGCAGACCTAGCTCTCCAGGCTGGGCTTCATTTCCTGGCAATTTCAAGGACCTGTGTGGTTAAGTGTCTTTGGGGGTAGTGCACCGTTTGAGCCTCTACCCTTCTGCAATGTGGTCTTGTTGCTTGTGCTTAGCCTGCAATCAACATGCATAGATCGCCCTCAGGAGCACCATAGCCCTTCTGTGGTTGGAAGGATAGAGACCTGGACTTGCTTTCTGGCTTTGCCAAAACATCTATGAATGGTGACAGGAGCTGCCTCTCAGAAAGCATATAGACAGCAGGGCCTTGGTGTGCAGGAGGGCCTCTGCTAATGTTACCATCACTACCATCGTCTACTACATTTGCCCTTTCTAGGCTGTGGTTTTTTTCCTTCCCTTCATGTTTTAAATCCTGGAGAAGTTCCTGGCCTTAGCTGAGCTCCACTGGGAACTGTCTTTCAGCGACGGTAAAACACTTGATTATTTCACAGTGGAAGGGCCAGTGTTCCACTAGCCAACAATAAAGAGACGAAGGACAGAGCTGGCCAGCTCCTTTGCCTTGCTAAGCTCTCTGCCCTTCCTCTGTCGTTCAGACATTGCCTTGCTCACATTGCCGGCTCTGAGAAGGGGCTAGCAGAACTGGAAGAACAGGGCTGGAGACATGAAGACAAAGGAGCACCAAAAGGCTGCTTCTCTGTCTTTGTTCTTCTCTGAGACAGCTTTGGGATCCCAGGAGGAAGGCTCTGGCTTTCCTTGATCTCAGAGGAAAACCTTGGAGCTAAAGGTGCTGCTGTTGCTAGGTGATGGGTAAACACACCCTCTGAGGCTCTTAGCTTAAGTAGTTAGGTTGCTGAGGCCAGTGATAGGGTGATGGGGGCACCCCAGGGAGGGGTGGGGACTGCTCCTTGAGTGAGCCAGGAGACCTGAGGCTGCTCACAGTTAGCAAGAAGAGCAAGTCTTGGCCATAGCTAGTTCAGGTGCTCAGGGGGCTTTCTGGTCACTTCGATCCCTGAACCCTCAGTCCCACTGGTAGGGGGCATCTGCTTCCCACCTGCAGTCAGGCAGGCAGTTTGATGCCATTATCAGGCTGGAAACAAGACCCCATCTCTTGGGCGCCTCCACAATGCCAGGTAAGGTAGAAAGAAGGGTTATGGAGGGGTGCTTCGTCATGGGGCCAGAGAGGGGCTTCTGTGATACAGCAGTTTAAAGTGCACATAGGGTTTTCGTGGCAACGGCTGTCTGTCTTCCGAGTAGTACCTGTTCTGGGACCCTGTTTTCAGGATATCTATCAACAAAACAAGCTAGGCACCAGCTCTCACATGCAGGAGCAGCAGTCAGTACTGTTGGCGCCAGTGCAGGCGTCCTCACAGCAGTATGCTTTCTTTTAACCTAACCTCAGCCCAGCTGCTACATTAGAAACCATTGCGCCTTGTAATAAACCACATAGGTGTTGACCTGCTGGCAATTTGAGTCAAGAACCTCACCCCCATTCCAAGGCATAACAGCTAAAGGGCAAGGCGGTGTGTGTGTGCGCGTGCGCGTGTGTGTGTCAGGTGACCCACCTCTATCCTGCTCCCAGCCCTGTTCATTCCATCAGTTAAGAATCAACCTTTGTGTTACAGCAAGGCTCTTAACTGCAGGTAGGGCCTGGGGAGGGAAGAGAGGCAAGGATTCCTGTTTCATGGATGGTGTTGTGGTGCAGGGCTTATAAGCTCTCTGCCCTTAACCTGTACACAGGACATACGATGGCCAGAAGTGAGACACTAGTACGGTACAGGCCTCTTGGGGGGAGTGGACCATAGACACCCCAGCTCCCTAGGGAGGTTCTATGCTCCAGGTGGCACTGTTGTGAGTTTTCTCTTATGGTCCATTCTCTCCTACATTTCTGAATTCTTGACTATTCTATTTTGCCCAGGTCCACACAGAATTCTTGTGCCAACTTTCTCCTTCTGGCAGGGTCAGATAAAAAGAAGGTGGCTCAGGTGCTTGCTGCTGGGGAGGACCAGAGCTTAGATGAGTTCTCTAAACACTGCATTTACCAGAACCAGGTAGCTGTCACGTGCAGTACAGTCTGACAGTTTTAAAGAATTCCACATAGTTGAAGCTGTCTTTAAGAAACAGACTGCCTTGGCTTGTCCTGAATTGTCTCTTAAACAATAAAGGGTAGGAAGTGTTGGTAAGAGAAGAGGGGGTTTGCTATAGAGGGCCTGGCTCCTCTACTAAGCTCCAAGCAAACTTGGACAATTCTCAGCGGTCTCCTGGACCAAGCTTCCCCCTTTGCAGTGTGGGTACAACTCTAACTTCCTGACATGTCTGACAGTGACAAAGGCTCTACAGAAACACTCCACCTGCTGGGTGCTGTGCACCTTTCCAAGTCCATTGGGGCTTCACCTGGTCCTCTCACGATCTCACTGTTGTTTATGGTCCCTTTGGTTGATCTTTGTGGTCTGAAGGGTCTCAGAGGCTCTGGTGGGGGTGGGGTCCTTCCTAAGCAGACCTGATAGCCTGGCTTCTGTCCTGTCACTTGGCTCAGGTTCAACAACGAGGTTCTCCCCAAGGGGAGAAGGGAGCAGTCAGCTTTGTTCTGTACACCGCCTCTGTACACAAGGTTAGCTGCTGCTGCTGATCTGCTAGAAAAAGACTTGGTGACTCCTTGATGGCTTCCCTGGGAACTCTGAACTCGAGAGCCTATAAATAGCTCTGGTGATGCTTCCGGGACCTCTCTGCATTATTACTTCAATGTTGCGTAACCTGGTATTCTTCTGCTTTCCTGCCCACTCATGTAACTCTGCAAGTGCTTTGGAAGTTTCTCCTCACTGTGATGCCACTGCTAGAAAAGGCATTTTGGTAGTGGATGGAGCACAGGCCCTGACACTCAGCCGCCTGGGTCTAAATCCTACGTCCGTACATTTTAAGTTGTTTGACTGCTGAGAGCCTCAATTGTGTGTGTGTGTGTGCGTGTGTGTGTGTGTGTGTGTGTGTGTGTGTGTGTGTAAAAGAGAGAAGGAGGAAGAGAGAGGGGGGAGAGAGGGAGGGAGAGACTAGTTTTCAATAAGTCTTCCTCCTAATGAGCTCCAAATATGCATGGCCTACAGTGTATTGCCTGGAGCAGAATGCAGTAACTATTAACTATAATAATATTATTTTATTCTATCAGAAAGTCACTGTCCAGGGGCTGGAGGCCCAGCTATGGATAAGAGGCAGAGTTCTTGTGCCCATGAGCAGATAGCCTGTTCTTAATAGTTGCTAACAGTATTTACATAGAATCCAGCAAGTGCCTGACCTAGTAGAAACTTGGAAATTAGTCATTATTAACTGGTAAGAGCATCTGGCATGGGTATGACAGGAGCTGGACAGCTATTCTGATGGCTTCATAGGCCCAGGAGTCTGACATCAGGAAGGCAGGCTGTGGCCCAAGAGCAACCAGAGTAACCAGAACAGTTAGGGGACCTGAGCTGAATGACATCCGTTGCTCTCTGAAGAGGAGGTAGCAGATGAAGGTCAGAGAAGCAAAGACAGACAGAAGGACAGAACAAACATGCCATTCAAACCATCTTAAGATGGACAAATGGGGTTACTGCAGAGCTCTCTTGGCAGAGGGGAGATCGTTGGAGCTAGAAGCACTTCTTAGAAGGGTCTGGGGGTGGGGTGGGGTGTCTGTGAGTGGAAGCTGGGTCCTGCAGGAAGGAGTTCCTTAAGCAGACATAGGTAGGCCTGGAAGTGGCTTCTAGTGTCCTTGGTTACCAGGCAGAGCCCCATTAGTGTAGGGATGGGTAGGTGGGACAGGGGTGGGTGAGGTCACAGTCCTTCCAAATGCTGACACTCTGGTTTTTCTATTTTGCTTATGGAATTCTGCATTGAATTTCAGTGGGGGCTCTGAGGCCAGAACACACAGGGCCTCATAGGTCCTTCCTTCCCCAGAAGTCTGTGACCTGGAGCTGCTGGCTGACGGTTTACAACCTCTCTTGTCAGTTAAGACTGGTCTGTGGCCTGATCTACTGATAGTCCTCTCTCTTGCAACTTACTAGGTAGCCTAGACAGATCTCAAATTCACGGCAATCCATTTGTCTCAGCTTCCAGAATGCTGGGATTACAGGTGTGAACCACCATACTGGGCTTGGCTAATAAATCAGTTTTCTCTCCTTAATGGTCTCAAGGCAATATGGGTAAGTTTTCCTGAGCAGTCTGGCTGTGAAGGCTTTGTCCCAGCCTTCTTGTGTGTGTTGCTCCCCTGAGCCCCCACTGCTATGATCTTTGGCATCTTGGGAGGGGGATTAGAGTCTCCGCAGAACCCCATGCCCGTCCACTGTCCTCTCGTGTTAGCATCTCCACTTCATGCACACACACTTCTGCTACAAAGCACAGCAGCATGCAGGTAGTGAAATGCAGTGCCCCAGCCCCCACAGTGGCTCGGGGTACACAATATGCTGGTCCTGGGGGGGGGGATTTGCAACCCGAGGGAGATGAAGAGACCTCCAGAGTTTGGAGTCTCAGCTCTGCCTCTTAGTGGCAGAGTGACCCTTTCAACTGACTTCTTTGTGCCTTCCTCTCCTAATTCGCAAGTCTCAGAGAGCTGGTGTCACTCAGAGGGAGACCCTGCACATCAGAGTGACTCTTGAGTCACAGGGGGCTGCTCTTCTTGCATCAGGTTAGAGATGAGAAGTCAGTTGCTGTGACTCCGTGAGACATCAGGGACACCAGCTCCTTAGGACAGGCCAGTGAGGATGTCTCTGGTGTCAGCATGGCAGTGGGACAAAGGTGTCCCAGTTATTTCCTTGAGGAAGTGGCTATGGTTGCTCCCTTCTTGTTGGCACCTGTGTGTGAAGGAGGGTCATGCTGTGCCTGGGACGAGGGGAGCAGTTTAGCCTGTCCCTGCTCCTTGTGTGCAGGTTTGGAACCCAGGGTCTAACTCTTGAATCTTCCAGGGTCTTTTTTAGAACTTGGTCTATGGCAAACACTTAGCTTCCCAGATGAGTAGTGGGGAAACTAGTGCAGCCAGGCGATAGTGCAACACACTGAGACCACAGTCAGGGCACTAAGCATGGGGCATCTGGGCCCCACCAGCCAGATGTGTAGCCATGACCAAAGACCCCCTGTACCCTGGACAGGCCACTTCCATCTATCACCCACTTCCTCCAGAAAGTGTTAGTTCAGCCACCTAAGAATTTCCATTTGCACATGCATTGGATGAGAAGCTGGAAAGCCAGCTGGGAGGACAGGGTGTTGCAGTTTTGAGTTGTTTACCAGTTTCTCTGCTGCAATGGTAATGTTTACTCAGAGTGGCAGGCTGGGCTGGGCGGTGCAGGGAAATGCATCACAGGGGGATTGCCACATTGTCTCTGCTAGACTCTCCCTTTTCCTGTTGCTGTGTTTTCTAGCCCGGCTCAGGCCTGCCCTTCCCTCGCCCTCAGCTTCTGTTTTCAGGGTCAAAATACTTTTATTTCTGGTAGGATTGGGTACTTTTTTCTTTTTCTTTTTTTAAAGTTGGATTTAGTGAACTTTGCTTTCTATATCACCTAGATTAGAATCTGGTGGCAAGGGATTCAGTTTTGGGTCATTTGCCTGTCATTTATTCATTCTTTACTCACTCATGCACTGACAGACTGACAAACTCACTCACTCACTCACTCAGGTACATTCACCTGGGGCCTATCCCATTCCAGGTCTGTGCTATCTGAGGTTAAAAAGATGTCAACAGGAAGCTCATAGTCTAGTGGCGATCAGCTGAAGTTCATTCCAGGCATGGGGAGTTCACTGTCTTAGGAGCCACTGGGAAGTGCAGTGTTTTATTAAGGCTGATGTTTGCATCTGGGCAAGATGGAAGGCTGGACCGAAGAGGTACTTGGGGGATCTGAGTCCTATGAAGATTCTCAGGCCTGAGGATGTCTGCCTCCAGCAGTCCTCTGGCTTCGGGCAGCTTGACCAGACTTTCTGAGGTCTGTGTGGGGTCAGTTTTCTCATCTCTCCTGCTATCAGTCCCTTCCCAGTTCCAGCTGCTCCCGATCCTGCAGCTCCCATTCCTGTCTAGCCTCCTCTAACCCTGTAGGGCCAAGGCCTGGTTCTCTTGGCTCCCTACCCAGCCTCACAGCATCACAGTGAGTTATGCCCCTGTAGTGTGACTGCCCGATGACTCTCTAGATGCCTGTGCTCTCACCTCCCAGTGAATTCCCAGGGCCTGAATTCCCAGGGCCCGAAACTGATGAGGCAGGCTGTGCTATGGTACAAGGAATGGATACTGTGCTCTTGCCTGGTGGGAAACATGGTCCTTAGGAGGGAGACTACTCAGTTGGAAGCCACCAGGGCCCTTCTCCAGCCTTGCCTTCTGAGCTATGGGTCAGGGGAGACCCCGAGGCCGAGTTCTTTGATAAAGGGATCAGACTGCATGCGCCCTGTGACTTCTCTGCTCCCTAACCACACTGCTCCAGCCATAGCATGCTGTCCCTTGTCCCTGTACCACCATTCTATCTTGCTCGTCTCATGCAATTCCTTCTATATAGAAACACTTCCTGGCTTCTCTGCCTGGAGAGAGCTGGCTCATCCTTCCAGAAGTCCAAAGCAAGTACTTTCTCTTCTGGGATAGCATCCAGCCACCCTGGAGAGACCTGCCTTTGGCTGAGGAGTGCCTTGTAACCTCTCTTTTAGTGGGTGCCTCCGAGGTAGCACCTAGACATTGTTTCAACACCCTAGCCCCTTGCCAAACAGCTGGTCACTGGGCAGGGTGGATCATTTATAAGTAGCTGCCTACCTGGAGCCAGTGACTTCAGGTTCTCTCACCTGGGTAGAGAGGGAGCTGGGGAAGGGAAGCAGGCATGAGGTGAGAGCTTGCTTTCTTAGTACTTCACCAGGCTGTCTACTGCCCATCTCTCAATTTGCCACCCCATGGCCAAGGATGATGTCACCAGAATGGAGGGCTCCTGGATTCTGTACCTCAGTCTAAGGGGGGGGGGGCTCCCCATTCTACCAGGGCTCTGTCGCCAGTGAGCTGGCTTATTCATTTGCTACAGTCCTCAGTCAAGCCCACCAAATACTTGGTGCTGTATAGGTTGTCAAGGAAAGGAGACAGTGGGGAGCACCTTGAAGGATTGAAACTGATCTCAGGCATTATCGCCCTTGCCTTGCCTGAATATAATGCCCTTGTCTTTGGCTCTTGGTGTGCTTAGGACTTTCTGAGCAGTAATGGCTCCCACCAGGATAGCTATCCAGGGTTACAATGTTTCTTTTGGTCTCAGCTGCAGAGTACAGATGGCACATTCCTGTCCAGGCCAGGCACTAGGTTCTTACTCTACCCAGGACTAGCTTTTCCTTGACATAAACAGCTGAATAAACTCAAGGGAAGCTGTTGTTAAGAGGCAGCTCCATTTGGACTTTGACCAGCTCGGACAGGGAGAGGCAGGAGGACACAGGAGAGGAGCAGGGAGACAGGGGGGCTGAGTCTGGCCTTAGGTTACCCCATCCTCTCCTGTGGTCTGGGAGCTAGGTTCACCCTGGCTTCATCAGTGGAAAAGAACAGATGTACATACAGGTAGTTTGGTGGTTTGCTCAGGGCCTAAGTCTTGGCAGTTCTCTTCCAAAGACTAGCTGTCATGTTGCCTGCCTCTGCTTCATGGCCCTTGGCCTGATCCTGCACCCATGGTGCCCACCTGCCTTCCCCATTATCAGCAACATCCAGCTTTCATTTCTTGCTGGCAGTAGGGTATGGTGAGATGTGGTCCTGGCTACCACTTCCTGAAGTGGGTTCCTTTGTAGTCACAGTTCTTACTTTTGCTCAGGCTTCCTGGTTTGCAGAGCTTATTCACCTGTGCTGGTTCGCTCAGCTTCTTTGCTTACCCTGTGTGTGCCAAGGATTTCGTGTGCCACACTGTTTTCCTTCTATAGGGGTGGAGACTCAGCGAAATTGAAGGAACTCTCGGGACCTCATAGAGAGCTAGCCCCGTGGTCTTGGCTTGTACAACCAGTTTTGTTTCTGTTAGCTGCCTCAGAAATGGCACCCATGTCAGCAGCTCCTCCAAGAGGTGTCCCAGGGCTACTCAGGGCCACTCAGCGATGGTTCACAGTAAGGAGGCTGACACTGCTCATTTCTTCCCCTCTGAACGCTGCCTGGGTGGGTACCTTTGCACAGGACTGCCTCTGACCCGGTAGCAGGTAGCTGGTACTTGAGTCCCAGCGCTGGTCCAGTACAGACAAGTGGTTCTATCACTCCGCCCTCAGCGGGACACTAGCATTTTGCCAGTCTTTTTCCTGGAGGGCCATAGGAAGTGTTTGGGTATTGAATACCCTTTTCTTGGGCAGCTTTTGTTTTAGTGCTTGAACAGTTGTCAAGGATTGGAGAATCAAGACCCCCTGGCTCCCACCTTAGGCCTGGTGATTATCTCTTCCCAGTCCTGGTCTTCAGTTGTCCCCCTTAAAAGGACAAACCAGCAGCAGAAGATGCTGGGGATACTCAATGGAGGAGAGTACTAATGAGATCAAGCAGAAGGCCCTATATATAACCCTGATTGTTTTGGGGCATCTCTTTACTGTTTTCTTTAAAAAGGACAGGGGTCATTTTTCTCAGGGAGTATCTGAGGGCCACCGTGGCACAAAAGCAGCCCTTGCTTTGAAGAAACCATGGCATCCTCCATCAAATACAACCTAGACAGTACGCTAAGAAACAAGCATGATTTAGAAGCTATTGGTAGACAAAGACAGCCCTGGTTTCTGTGCCCACCTTCAAGGATGGCTAATGATGGAGGGAGAGGAGAATTGATGGTCACAAAGGGCTGGAAGTGGAGGTGATTCAGTTGTGACCTCTTTTTTAACCTGGAAGGTGTCACAACATTCTCTGTTAATGATCCCACAGGCTACTTGAAGAGCCCTTTATGGACATCTGCCCTTCCCAGCCCGAGGGCCCTAGACTCACCATCCTGCTTTGGTAATCCTCCCAATTTTCTTACAGCCTGGAGCTGAGATGCAACCCAAGGCAGCAGGAGGGGTCCTCGAATGAGCCAGTAGGTCAGAAAGTCCCCATCAGCATAGTCCAGGGGGGGCCCAAGTGCAAGGCCGGCCTTGTTCCCTGATGGCCAGCATGCTCTTCCTTCAGCCAGCCAGTTACCTCCTGCCACTGTATCTCGGAGTGACTTGGGGACTCTGGCTGGTTAGTTCCTACAATCCAACAGATGAAGTTGCCAAACTGGAATTATTATTCGTCTTGCAACCTGCCACCCAGTTTTAAAGGCTGGGCCAACACCTGGAATAATTCACCAACCTTAGAGCAGGTGACATGCCTAAGGCGTTACAAAAGCCTGCCCACTTGAATGCCTTCCAGCCAACCAGGAGGGTGGGAGGGCAGGCATTGGCGGAAGCTAGGTGATGACAGACAACTTTTTCTTTCTCTTTCCTCTAGCTGTGTTCCTTCTCACTCTGTGTGTGTGTGTGTGTGTGTGTGTGTGTGTGTGTGTGTGTGTGTGTGTTCATGCACTTTCGTTTGGGGTTGCAGGAAGAAGGGTACATTGCTAGCTTGTGTCCGGTAATAGAATTGGGAAGTTCCTACAGGTCTCTTTCTTAAAGATGTGTCTTCTGTCATCCTCTGGATCCAGAGTCACGTTGTGGGGTGTGGGACTAATGAGCTTTCTGCCAGTGTCCCTTTCAAATAGTCTACTGTTTGAAAGTCACCAGTGTGCTACAGCTAGGGCCAGGTCCTCTCCTCCACAGGCTCATTTCTGATTCATGTCCTGCCACCTAGGATGGTTGGAAACCCCTCCACCCCACCCCGGGCCAGGAGCTGTGTAAAGTGAAATCTGGGGATCAGACCATACAGCTGAAGAGACCTGGTCAATTTTGGACTCACATGCAAGTTAAAAATGTAGATTGTGACCTGACAGTGGTGGCACATGCCTTTAATCCCAGCACTTCAGAGGCAGAGGCCGGCGGATCTCTGTGAGTTTGAGGCCAGCCTGATCTGCAGAGTGAGTTCTAGGGCAGCCAGGCAGCCAGGACTGTTTCACAGAGCAACCCTCTCTGGGAAAAAAAAAAAAAATCACATCTGATTTTCCGAGGAGAGCAGTCAGCCATATGTCTTGGCTCTTCCCTTTAGCAATGTGCTTCTGTGTGTCATCTCTTTAATTTTCACATTAGCCTCATGGAGAACATTTTGTTGCATTTGACCATTGAGGGTGATGAAGTTTCTGACAGGAGAAAAGTGGTGGTTGGAGCCTGGGTCCTCTTCTACTGCCGGGAGGCAAATGGGCTGGAATTCGGATACCACCGAGGTGGTGTCTGTACGTTCTCTCTGGATGTACAGTTGGGGCTGGATGGCCCACAGTTATGGTCAATGCTGAATAGCCTTAGTTCCATCTGAGGCCAACCTATAGGTCTTCTGGGCTTTCAGAGTCCACAAGTCTCTCACTCTTCCCCAGCCCAGAGCAAAGACCTTTAGAGCAGGAAGTTTGGGGCAATTTAAGATCTCCGAAGGGGTGACTTCAGTAGACAGGCCCTTCCTCTTCAAAGGAAACTTTCAACAGTGGGCAGTGTGGGGCCAGCAGGCCACTTGCCGCTAGGCCTTCCTTGTTTGGTTCCTGTCTGTGCCAGGATAAACATCTGACCTATGTTTCAGGCAGCTGCTGGGGCAGGGTTGCTGCAGGGCAGGGCTGGTGGCACAATGACTACTCAGCACTTCTTGCTCCGCCTTTGGCCCCAGCTCTCAGATGAGTCTGGGAACGTTGCAGAAGCCTGGGAAGGGAGGGAAATGCACAGCTTAGAGATGGAGGCACTTGTGGCCTGCAGAAAACAGGCCTGCCTCCCCAGGTGCCGGTGCAAACAGCTAAGCCGTACTCCACCTTCTGTGGGAGGCCTGAGCTTTTCCTGGGGGTGTGGGTATGGGTCTGCTGTAGCCCAGGCTGGTCTCTAACTCACTGTTTTAGTTCAGGATGACATGAACTTCAGACCTCCTTGACACTCCTCCTGAATACTGAGAATAAGGTGTGCACCATAACTTTTGGTTTACTCAGTGCTGGGGATCAACCCCAGGGCTTTGTGAGGGCTACTGAAGCCCTCTCCCAACAGAACTACACCCCAGTCCACCACCTCTCCCTTTAGACTTCCTGCTTGCTTTCCCCATTTCCTCTCTCACACTTGACTCCTTACTTACCCTTTCCTCTCCCTTTCAACAGATTTTCCTCTTCCTGCTCCTTTTCCCTCTCTCCCTCCCAAGCTCAGAGTCACTGCCAAGCTTGAACTTTTGTACCCCCTCATTTGTGCTGCCCCTTCTAAGGCCATTGTCTTAGGGTTTCTATTGCTGTGAAGAGACACCATGACCAAGGTGACTCTTATAAAGAAAGCATTTATTTGAAGGTGGCTCACTTACAGCTCAGAGGTTCAATCCATTATAATAGTGATGGTGACATGCAGGGAGACGGTGGGGTGCAGGAAGACATGCTTGCAAGCCACAGGAAGCTGACTGAATGTCACATTGAGAGGGAAGCTTGGGAAAAAAGACCTTAAAACCCACCTCCACAGTGACACACTTCTTCCAACAAGACCACACATGCTAATAGTGCCACTCCTTTTGGGGGCCATTTTCTTTCAAACCACCCCAGCCATCTAGTGGGTCCCAGCAGTATATTCACACTACAATTTTTGTAGGTATATACACAGACACAGACATAGACACACACACACACACACACACACACACACACACACACACCCCTTCAAAATATATAAGCTTTGGGGGACTGAAGAGATGGCTCAGTTAAGAGTACACACCATTTTTGCAGAGGACCTGAATTTAGTTAGTAGCACCCATGTGGGGCAGCCCACAACCGCCTGTGCTTCTGGTCTCCATGAGACCCTGCATGTGTACCCTCAACACACAGAGAAAAAACTTAAGCCGGACATGGGTGAGGACTCACATATTTAATCCCATCACTTGGAAGGCTCTCCCTTGACTCCTGGCTTTCTAAGACAATTGTCATTTCTCTGGAGACATGGAATCTCAAGCATCTGCCGCAAAGATTCTCTAGTCACCTCTGTTGGTAAGGAGCTGCCCTTCTCTTGGGGTCCCTGCTGACAGAGAGCCACTCCTGTCTATACATGTCCAATTTAAGGTTGTGATCAAGAGTAGGGTGAAGACAAGTTGGGGCCTGGCAGGATGGCAGGAGGCACAATTGCTTTAAATAAACTTCAGAGAGTAAAATATGATCAACACATCATATGTGTTCCTGCATGCTATGCCTTTGGCCTTCATATGATGTCACATTGATTTGCTCAACGATATGGATGTGGATGGTATCGCTATTTCCATCTTACAAAACAGCATGCCAAAGCTTAAAGTTGGAGTCTGGGTTGGTGTGAATTAGGAGGCCCAGGATTTTCTACTCCACCATGTACTGTTCATGGAGAGGGTCTACAGTGCCTCTGCAACCCTTCAGGAACCCCTGAGAAGCCCCTGGAGCACCAGAGATCCATGTGAGCAACTGCATTTCAGGGAAAATGCTTCTGCATGTCCATGGTACCTGGTAGCAGGCTTAGTGAGATCTTTTCCTTAGCAAGCAATCTTCCCCTAAACTAGACACAGAGCGAATTTCAGATCGCTTCTGAGTCCAGTCTCTCATTTTCATCTATATTTTGAGAACACTTTCTGACTTAGGGTTTCTATTGCTCTGATGATCAAAAAGCAATTTGGGGAGAAAAGGTTTATTTGGCTTACATTTCCATATTGCTGTTGATCAGTGAATGAAGTCAGGACAGGAATTCAAACAAGGCAGATTTCTTCCTTAATGCTGGGATTAAAGGTGTGTGCCACAACCACCCATCTAGAGGCATCTTTTTAATTGAGGTCCCCTCCTCTCAGATGTTAGAGCAGTGGTGGAGGTGGGTACCCCAGGGTTCATGTGTTAGGACAGTGGTGGAGGTGGGTACTGTTAGGAACTAGCAGCCAGCTGACCCCCCCCCCCGCCCCGATGATGGGTGGGATGCTCATGGCCATGTCATCGCTACATCAGCTTTACCTGGCAGCCAGAGGACTCAGTTACGCATGCGCAAGCCTCTTTTAAAGCAAGTGCGCCAAGTGCTTCTCTCTCTGCTTCTTTCTCTCTGGTCCCTCTCTGTTTCCTCTCTCTGCTTTCTCTCTCTCCTGCTTTTGGTTGGCTACCAGCTACCCCCTCTTTCTCTCCCTTCTCTCAATAAAATCCACATGGGCGCTGAGTCTTGTGTTTGTGTTTCTTAGGCATTAGCTGCAGCAAAAGAACAACAGGTACCCCAGAGTTCATGTGTTATAACAGTGGTGGAGGTAGGTACCCCAGAGTTCATGTGTTAGAACAGTGGTAGAGGTGGGTACCCTCAGAGTTCATGTGTTAGAACAGTGGTGGAGGTGGGTACCCCAGGGTTCATGTGTTAGAACAGTGGTGGAGGTTGGTACCCCAGAGTTCATGTGTTAGAACAGTGGTGGAGGTGGGTACCCCAGGGTTCATGTGTTAGAACAGTGGTGGAGGTGGGTACCCCAGGGTTCATGTGTTAGAACAGTGGTGGAGGCTGGTACCCTCAGAGGTTACATGTTAGAACAGTGGTGGATGTGGGCCTTTAGGACATGGTCAACTCAAGAGAGCTTATGAATGAATTAACACTGATCATTTGGGAATGAGTTGATGGGCTCCTGGTTCTACCCTCTCTGTCTGTCCTGCACACTTACTTGCTCGCTGGCTGTCTTAGGGTTTCTGTTGCTGTGAACCATGACCACAGCAACTCTTATAAAGGAAAACAGTTTCAGAGGTTTAGTCCATTGTCATCATAACAGACATGGTGACATGCAGGCAGACATGGTGCTGGAGAAGGAGCTGAGAATGGAGAAGAAGCTACATCTTGATCTGTAGGCAACAGGAAGTGAACTGAGACACTGAGTGTGGGTTGAGCATATATGAGACCTCCAAGCCTGCCTCCATGGTGACATACTTCCTCCAACAAGGCCACACCTACTCTAACAAAACCACACCTCCTAATAGTGCCATTTCCTATGAGCTTATGGAGGCCAATTACAT